TCCTACAGTTTCAGGTTATAGCCTATCATTGTGAGGAAGTCACAGTATCAGGAGCTTGAAGCAAAAAATTACATCATATCCACATCAAGAAAAGTAAATGAAATGTATATATATTGCCTGCTTGCTTACTTTTGTTAAGGTTGGTATCTGTCCACTTACACAATCCAAGATGCCCTGCCTGGGGGATGGTACCACCCACAGTGGACTAGATCTTCCTAGATGTGTTAACTTAATTAAAACAGAGTCACAATAAGTATGCCAATGAACTAACTCAATACAATTCTCCACAGCTTTCCTGATGTTAGTTTCCATTGGAAATTTTTTCTTTGTTTTTGTTTTATGCACCTTAGAAGTCTTCTTCTTATTCTATTCCCATTATTTGTAGATTTGGTGTTTTCATTTTGTTCCAAGATTTTAACTTTTTTAATTTGCCATTTCATTTTATTGTGAGATCCAATTTCTCTTATTACTATTGAAATCCTAATATTCTGCCTTCATGATTCATTATGTTGTTGAGTCTTTTCACTGAATATTTTTTTTTTTTTTACTTATTGAATGTTATTCGTTTCCAGCTTAATTTCAATTTGAGGTTTTCTCATTATTTCTGTATCTTTAATTATATTCTTTATGACACAGTGTTCTGCTTGTTTTACTCAGCTATTTTTTTTTCCTGGGCTTCATTCAGTTTATTCCTACCCATTTAAGTTCATTCAAATGTTTACAACTTCTTTGAACCCTTTTGAACTCTTTAAACATGTTTATAATTATTTTTTGAACTATGTTCACCCAAGTTGTCCTCATTAACGACTATTGCTATGAAACTGGTGATTTATGGGAGCTAATATATTGGTGAGGCTTTTGTTTTATTTTCAGTTCTGGGCTCCCCCCATATTTCTTATGTTCTGAAGATAGGACCTGGACATCTGGAGTTATAATGTTAGTTGTGTCTTCTGATATGAGATTTGGGGCCTACAATGTAGGCTATCTGAGCTTCTATTTTTGGTTGTGAGCCTAGCCTTCAACAGCTGAGCCATCTTTCCAATCCTATTTGAGCTTCTAATAACATTTTTTCATTGCTGGAGGTCCTGGGCAACTATCAGGGTAGTCTTTGGAGATTACAAAGAGGGAATGGAACAGGAATAAGATGTGTTGTCACCAGAAAAACAAAATGATATGTGCTCCCAAATGAGCAGCTGCAGGATTTGAACCTGTCACAAATGAAGAGGAACAGGAAGAGGAGGCACCAAGTGTCTTCCTGCAAATCTGGAGCTCATGGGACAACTAGAAGATCAGGCAACACTTTCTTTTATAAGAACAATATTTTATTAATCCTTTGGTAGTTCCATGCAATGTATTTTAATCATACTCACCTTTCTCAGCTCCTCCTAAATCCACCCCAATATCTCTACCTCCCCAACTTAGTATATGATTTTTTTTAATTTTATTTAATTTTATATAACAGTCCAATTAAATGAAAACAAACATTTATACACAATATTTGGGAATTTGGGCGTCGTTCTTTCCAAACTACTTCCTGCTGGTAAGGGGCGCTGTCTTGGGGGGATTCGAAGAAGATTCAGATATCCTGGCTGTAGTCTGTAGGGCTGTTTTGTCCAGCTGTTTTGAATGTAGGATCAGCTTGTACTCTGTTTCAGGCGGTCTGGCGTGATCAAACCACATTAGTCTGGAAGGAATCCACATCTTTTCATTTTCTGTGGAAACAAAAATAGAAATCCATTTCCCCAGTAACTTGTCCTTCAACTCTGGCCAATAGCCGGCGGAAGAGGACGAGGGCTGAGCTGGAACTTGAGAAGGTTTTGCAGGGTAGTCGGATCTCACTGGAAACTGGCGCTCTCCAGCTGAGACCTCGTTCTTTGGCAGAGGCCAGGATTTGGGGGTCAAGGATCTTGCCCGCAGGAACTCTGAGTGGACCCGCCGATTTTTTTTTTTAATTAATGGAGGCCAACTATGAGTATGGGAACTTTCTGAGATAGTAGGCTTACCAGGAACCATACCTTTAATAAAAAAAAACACTTTCTTTATTTAGTCATCCAGTGATAAAATAGTTGACATTTTTACTTTTTTTGATAACTAGAATTATATTGGTATGAACATTTGTCACTGTTTTTTGTGTGCCTATTTCAGATTAATATGAATGGAATGACTGGATGATATAATTCTGTATTTGACTTTCTGAGGAACAACCAACATTTTATCCATACTGACTGAGATCTTTTTTGGTTTTTCGAGACAGGGTTTCTCTGTATTGCTTTGGAGCCTGTCCTGGAACTATCTCTGTAGACCAGGCTGGCCTCAAACTCACAGAGATTTACCTGCCTCTTCCTCCTGAGTGCTGGGATTAAAGGCGTGAACCACCAATGCCCAGCCTGACTGAGAACTTTAAATTCTTACTATAATGTACAGAGTTCTAATTTCTCCACATCTTCACCAACAAGTTTTGCTTTAACTTTTCATAATGAAAGACCTAATAGTTCTGATTTGTATGTCCCTGATGGTTTACAATAATGAAGCTTATTGACTATTTGTTTATTAATTTGTTTTGTTTTTAATCTTGTTTTTGTATTAGTTCTTTGGCAATTCTGTACAATGCATTTAACTATATTCTCTCTCTCTCTCTCTCTCTCTCTCTCTCTCACACACACACACACACACACACACACTTCCTATCCAATTAGGGTTTCTACTGCTGAGATTAAACACCATGACCAAACAAGTTGGGTTGGAAAGCATTTGTTTAGCTTACATTTCCACATCATATTCCATCACTGAAGGAAGTTGGAACAGGAACTCAAACAGGCAAATAACATGCAAGCAGGAACTGGTATAGAATGTGGTGGCAGGAACTAATGAAGAGGCCATGCAGATGTGCTGCTCACTGGCTTGTTCCTTGTGGCTTGCTCACTCTGCTTCCTTATAGAACCCAGTACCACCAGCCCAGGTGTGGCACCACTCAAGGGCTGAACCCTCCCTCATCAACACTAACTAAGTAAGTAATTGCTCTACATGGTAGCCTACAGCCTGATCTTTTGCAGGCATTTTCTCAATGACTCTCAGTTGACCATAGATTGTGTCAAATTGACATAAAACACTTTTCAAATCTATCCTTTTTAGTATTTACCCAATTTAGTGTCTTTCACTAAATCCATCATGACTAATTTGTGCTTATATGTGTGGGACCTGGACTGGAGTGTGATGGACCTACCAGGGCTACAGGGGCTACACTCTTAAAGAAAAAAAAAAAATTCTCCCTTTCTAATCAACTAACAATTGCCACTAGCTCCTAGGCTGGGGTGGGACTTCAGACTAAAATCATCTCTCCATTCTTTCTTTGGCATGTCTTGAGCTTAACATACTTCCTGAAGGTGCTTTGCTTTGCTAAAAGAGAAGTAAACTTATCATCAATCTTACCCAGCTGTGAACCTTTTAAGTTAGAGTAATGACTGGCCTGGTAATACATACACATTGATGAAATAGTGTCATGAACATCATGTGAGTACCCAACAACTTTCTGATTAGATTTAAATCCTACTCCACAGATGAAATCCATATATGGCACTATTGTCAGGGCATGAACCTATGGTTAAGTAGGTGAAAAGGAAGGTCTTCCTATTATTCTGCCAAATGGACGTAGCACTAATCCAGTAGCTAGTGATGTATCATTATACCTGCAGATTAATGTACTCTTAATCCTCAACAGAGAGGTTCCTAATTGTAGTAGATGGTAATTAAAACAGACATCCACACTGTATATGAATTATTTACATGGTACTTTCCATTCAAACTATTTTTCTGCACTTATACTAGAACTACCATGAAATGTTTGGTGATTTTTTTTTGAATGACAAAAAATAAAGAATTTGTTAACTGTTTTACACTTTCTTAATTAATGTTTGGTTGTCAATGTTGTATTATAGCTCTATCATACAAAACACTTTGATGTTTTCATTATTTCTCATTATTCACCCTACTCAAAATTAGGAGACCCAGTTTTAGCCTAGAGCTAGGTATCATATATGTAAAATATAATATCAATAAATGCATCTTTCTCAATAAGCATTTAAAAATCTCATGTCCTTTAACCAGTTTTCTGTGTGGACATGTATCTGTGAAAAATTAACTGATATGAATGGAGATACAAACTGTATATATAAAGGCAAGACTCATAAAATTATTTTCTTTCTTCATTCTTAAATGATTTTACCAATAGACAACTGAAGTTACTTAGGACATTTTCCCTCAGTTATATTTAATAGCAATAAAAATAATCTATTGGAATATAAGCATATATATTAAAATAGTAAATAAAATAGAAAATGTACAATTACAGATTGAGGATTATATACCTCAAATGCTTTGAACCAAATATAAACCAGATTCCATAGTTTTTTTTTTTCTTCTGATTTTGGATCATTTGGGTACTCTTTAATGCTTGAGTATTGCTAACATCAAAATCTGAAATCCCAACCAAAAATTGAACTGAAATCTTTAACTTTGATTTGGTTTAAATGTTCTGGATATCAGAGCTTTTCATATTTTTGGACTTGTGAATTACATATTCACCCAGTAAAATAATAACAGAAATCCCAATACTGTGCCTGACATAAAAAAATAGAAATCAATACTTCAAAGTGATTACTCAATTATCCTCACAAGGCAAATTCACATAATACTCTGTTATGTGATAGTGTTAAATCCTGAAAGATATCGTTTTTATGTTTTTCTTAAGGACTTGACTCTACTTCAAGGTTTTCAGACTGAATAATATATTTAAGTGTTGCAGGTACTTCAAAATGTTGACTGGTATTGTTTATTTTAGGTTTATCATGTTGAGCTGAGAACTTACTGATATGATTTTATCTAATATGAACATGCCACTGAACAGTTTAACATATCCTTGAACTCTCCTTGTTTCTACATCTAGATTTTTATTAAACAAGAAATTATGAAATTTAAAATTTATAAAATAATATTTTTTTCAGGTGCCCCATTGCCTAAAGCAGATGTTTCTGAGCCCCTGACTGTCAGCTCACCAGTGAAGAGAGCTCGGGGTGCAGATGCTCTGAGTGAAGAGGAAGAGAGAGGAAAAGAAGACCCCTTGACCATCTCTGAACTAGCATACAATCCCAGCGCCAGCCTGCTCCCTACCCCAGTGGATGATGAAGAAATTGACATGCTTTTTGACTGTCCATCTAGGCTTGAAGTAGACAGAGAAGACACGGATTCATTTGAGGAACTGGAAGCAGATGAAAATGCCTTTTTGATGGCTGAAGAGGAGGAGCTGAAGGAAGCTCATCAAGCTTTATCATGGAGCTATTCCATCCTGACTGACCATATCTGGGTCAACCCCCTGGTCAAGAGTTTCTCCAGGCTCCTTGTGGTGGGCCTGGGATTGCTGCTGTTTGTATTTCCCCTGCTCCTCCTCCTTTTGGAGTCAGGTATTGATCTCTCCTTCTTATGCGAAATCCGTCAGACACCAGAGTTTGAGCAGTTTCACTATGAATATTACTGTCCCCTGAGGGAGTGGGTGGCTGGGAAGGTCAACATCTTCCTCTACATGCTGGGTTGTTCATAGGTTCATATCTGATAAGACCAAGGGCTATCTTCAATACTAGTGGTATCATTTTCAGTAGATGCTAGGTTTTGATTGGCCTTGGGTTGTCAAAACGTATTCTTTTCTCTTAATTGACTGCTCAAACATTGAAAGTAGTTTTCTGTACTTTAATAAATTTAAATCAAATATAATTCTTTTAGTTATCCTTCAGAAAGGCAGCCTTGAAGTAACAAAGAAAAATTTTTCTCCTTATCATACCAAAATATGTAGTACATTGGAGTTAGGTATTCTGGTTTCTTTATTGTGAACTATAATGTTCAGAATTTTAGTAAAACTACAAGGGAAATCTTTTTAATATAACCTTTGGTGAAAATAATGTCCTCTTACTGATACCTATACAAATAAGTTGATGCTGGGGTTTCTTTCAGTTTTTTTTTAAAAAAAATATTTTTATGTGTTCTAACTATTTTGGTAATTTTTTAGCAAAAAAAATGAGAAGCTTTCTGAAGTTATTTAAGTACATATTGTACTAATGCACATGGAATTTTTTAGTGTTTTGGCACATGATTTTTTAAAGGTATTTTTTGGCTAACTAATCCCATAATTTATTACCTGCATATGACTTTTTAAAAAAATGATAGTAAGAAACTATAGGAAGTACTCAAAACAGATGGTTGAATTAGAAGATGGAGCAAGGAGAACATTAAGTTGACATTGTGAGCTCTAGTTTTCATTTGGTCAAGATAATCTTACAATTTCATTTTCATTTTGCCCATATATTTGGGCTGGGGAAGCAGAGTTTTTTAAAAAGTTGAAACTACTTGTAATATTAAAGTTGTAAAAGATCCACTAGTTAATTGTTTATTGTTTAGTAATCCATGTAAAAGCAGACATTAGTTTGGTAAAACGAAGGTAGGAAAGACGAGTTCTGGTGAGACAGCTAGGCAAGAGATGATAAGCTTATGGTTGCCTTTATGGAAGTGATTGTGATACGTGACACTCAATGTAAAGAGCTGTGCACTCGCTTTTTGAGTTCACAGAATCATGTTTAGTTAATAAAAGTGAACAAATGTTAAGGTGAATTTTGGGGATCCCTCATGCATTTCATTGTGATTCTCTGGATGAAGTTTCAAGGGTGTGTGTGTGTGTGTGTGTGTGTGTGTGTGTGTGTGTGTGTGTGTGTGTTAGAGAAAGAGACAGAGTAAAGAGAAAGAGAGAGAGAGAGAGAGAGAGTAAGAGAGAGAGAGAAAGAGTCTCCTGTTATGGATTTCTTTAAGTTCTGAACTCTTGTAATTGAGGCTTCCATTGAAACAATGAAGTAAACCATCAGATGACACACCAATTCTGTTTGGGTGAAGTAGACAATGGTGGAGAAAAACAGAAAAAAATTATAAATTCTGTAGTACATTCTTTCATGTCAGTGAACCCAAGATAGAAAAACATCTGGTGCTTTCCATTGCTGGTCACTTACCAACACTATTTAAGGAGTAAATAGGAGTATGAAGGAGTATAAAGATTACAACATAATTGAAAATACCCCATACCCTTTGATAATGAAGAAATTGAGCACACAAATTGAGCACTACAGTCATGCTTACTTAGTGAGGCACTGAATGTTTTATTAGATGATTATTTTGAAAGTGAACTTTGAAAGTAAGCTCTTGGGACTTTTGAGTTGAATGCATTATAATATATACTTGCTATTGCATCCATGATTTATACAGATATAGAAATATATTTTCTATGACTTGGACATTAAACAATTTTTTGTAAGTTTGCTACTCATCAGCATTTTGAAGTTCTAATTTTTTCTCTCATATGACCTTAAAGTCATACTCTCTGGCATGAGGAAACTCCAGTGCAGTCGGTAGAAAATTACTCACCCTTTTAATTGTGCTACATATTTTCTTTGAAGTGCTGACCAAGATAGCTCATCTGACTTTCTTATTTTAAAAATAGTATTTACATTAAATAATATTTTAAATTGTGGAGATAGCATGTTTATATTATAAAATATAAAAAGAAAATAAGACAGCTATAACATGTAGTACATGCATGCAGATTTGTAATGAGAAGTAAGATGCAGATAATTTTAACATTTATAACTTGCATCACCCTTCTCTTAAGGAAAAGTTCATTATGGAGTAGAAATACTTTTATGGAAAGACAGAATAGGGACTGCTAAACTAAAGTAATAATGATAAAGCCTAGCACTGGATCCTATAATGTCATTTATTTGGTATAGAATTAAAGCCTTTAAGAAATATCCATTAATTGTTACAAAGTTTTCATCAGTTGTTTGAATCAAATGAAGAAGGGATTCTTCAAAGGATGGCCAGTATATAAAATAATAAGATTAAGAGCTCGAAGCAAGTACATGAGCATTTGAATATTCTGTATCATTGGTATATGTGTATTTATAAAAGATATGTATGTATGTGTCCGTATAAATATAATTCACATGCCTTTCATACATACTTAACTTGTGCTAATTATGCCCCAGGTAAGGAATTTGTGGAATACTTTTATTCCTTTCTCTCTCAGATATTGTGATATAATTTGTAGAACCTTAGGTGCTTAATTATTTCATGAAAGTACTTTGTGTACATTTGTGTATTCATGTATATATACAAAAAGATAGAGAGGGAGCAAGTAAATGTACACACAGTTGTCTTTAGTGCTGATATGAGCACTATAATGATAATGATGTAGGTAAAGGATCATATATTTCTGAGCTTGGAAGATGTGTGTTATGTATTTACAGTATATTTTGTAGTTTGTCTAATATTTATGAACATAACTCTGGGAAGAATTTACAATGAGTTAACTTCATTTAAGTAACAAGAGATATGGGGCCATATTACTGTTATTATAGATGTATCTTTGTATAGTGGAATTAGCCTTTCTCTGTCAGCATCCAGATTGCTTGTCTGTTAATATGGTGGCAGGAATCTCTAATAAAAAAAAACTCTGGGGTAAAATACTTTTTCAATTATTCAATTTTATTTTATGTAACTTAATGGGTGGAAACTATAGGATAGTGTATGTTAGGTAATGAAGGAAATTACCTAATATTCTACTGAATTTACTAACGCCTATGCAGAAAAATAAGCACTAAAAATGTACTCCCGTTTAAAAGGCAAAAAAAAAAAGATAGAGAAATATGCTTGGGACTCAGTCTTTCTGTGTAGAACCATGATCCAGGACCCACTTAGTTCTTTTCCAACCATTTCTTCTAATCCATCTTCATTCCTTTCTGACTCCCTGCTGACACACAGAACTTGTTTACACCAGAGACCAGAGCCACCACAATTGTCTGAAAATGATTAAACTTAAGAGCAAAGACCACATGTTTTCTCCTTACTATTATACTTTTCCTCTTTTGTAGCCTCCATTCAGGTCTCTCATGACTTACTCTTAGCTTGCCACTTCCTGCCCCTCCTCCCAGCCTATTTCTGTCCTTTTGGTACTTGGTGCAAACCCAGGCCCAAAGTCACCTTTGTTCTTCCCCACTGGTTGTGATTTCTAGATCAACATAATTCCGTTGTGACCCCCCCCAAGAAATGCATGAAGAACAACTCTATCAGGAACCCCACAACCACACACTAGGGTAGGAATCTGGGACCTCATAGCACCACACTGGACTAAGATCCAGATTGGGCAACAACAACCAAAGAAAAGAACACCAACACAACAAAGGCAAGACACCAAAATCACTTCAAATGCCATAATTCCAGATGCCTGAATACCGGGGGGGGGGGAAGAATATGTCTCCTCCCTCCAGAAGTGACAAACCCTATTGTGGAAAGAAATTTAGCTGAAACACAAGTGAAGGACTACAAAATAGCAACTATGCTTATGTCCAAGGACTTTAACAAGTATATAAATAAATGTCTTAATGAAGATCATAAAAACACAAACAATTAAATAAAATATTAAAATAATTCCAAAAATGAAAATAAAAGGAAATGGAATAACTGAAGAAAACACAAATTGAAATAAATGGGAGATGAAAAACTCAGCATGTTAAACAAAAAGCTCAGAGATAATCCTCACCAACAGATTAAAAGACAAGGAAGAGAAAATATTAAGAATTAAAAAAGGGTAGAAGAAATGGATAGCTCAGCCAAAGAAAATGTTTTGTTTGTTTGTTTGTTTGTTTTGTTTTGTTTTAGTTTCTTCAAAAAGGATTTTTCTGTGTAGACCTGGCTGCCCTGGAACTCTTTCTGTAGACAAGGCTGGCTTCAAATTCCCAGATATCTGACTGCCTCTGCCTCTTCAGTACCTGAATTAAAGGTGTGCACTACCACTGCCTGGTGAAATGTTAATTCTTTAAGAAATCCAAGCACAAAATATCCAGGAAACCTATGAAAAGAGTAAAATTATAAATAATAGGTATTGGGAAAGTAGAAGAAACCCAAGTAAATAAAATAATAGAAGAAAATTTCCCAATCTAAAGAAAGTGATCAAAGTACAAGAAGCAGAGACAACACCTAATAGGCAAGAATAGAAAATAAATTCCCATCTCGCATATTATTCCAAACACTAAATGTACAGAACAAAGGGTATTGAGAGTGGCAAGTGAAAAAGACCATGTGACATATAAAGAAAGGGCCATTAGAATAACACCTGTTTTTTAGTAGAGACCCTGAACATCAGCAGGACCAGCTCTGAGAGACTGCAGATCATAGTCTAGACTACTATACCCAGAAACACTACCAATTACAACTGACAAAGAAGAACATTCCATGGTGAAAGCATATTTAAGCAGTGTCTACCAACACTGCTCTTTAGAAGGTACTAGAAGGAAAAGTTCCATCTGAAAACTGACTGTATCCAAGACAACATAAGTAATAAATAATCCCAGAACAATCAAAAGAAAGGAGGAAATCCATAACATAACAATAAAATAATAGGAATTAATAAACATTGTTCATTAATAACTCTTAATATAAATAGTCTGATTCACCAACTAAAAGATATACAGATTAACAGGTAGAATTAGATCACAGTATCCATCATTCTGCTGGATGTAAGAAACATGCCTCACCATTTAGGACAGGCATCAACTTAAGGTGTATAGAATGGAAAACGATATTCCAAGCAAATGTAACTAGGAAACAACCAGGTGAAGCTGTTGTAAGATCTGACAAAATA